GTGATCCACCCGCCTCGGCCTCCCAAAGTGCTGGGATAACAGGCTTGAGCCACCGCGCCCGGCCAAATAATTTTTTAAAAAAAGAAAAGAAAAAGAGAGACAGGGAGAGAGGGAATGAGGAAGGGAGGGAGGGAAGAAGAGAAAGGAAGAAAGAAAGAGAGACAGAGAAAGAAAGGAAAGAAGGAAGAAAGAAAGAAAGAGACTCAAATGCAAGGCTCAGAGCTTTAGGGCGCCACAGGCCTTGGTTCCAGGGAGCTGCAGGGTCTCTGCCCACAAACCAACGGCAATGTGTGATTTTGGAGAAGGTGCCAGAGAGAGGGCAGCACCGGGATTGACAAGTGCGACCCATGGGCTTGGGGCTGGGGAGATGGATCCCAGCACAGCTCTGGAAGGACGCTCTCCTGGCAAGTGTGAGAAGGGGACGCTCCTTGTGACCAGAGGTGACAAACCCAGGCCAGTGGCGGCTGAGGGGACACACCATGCATTGGAGATGAGAGACCCGGGATTTTGGGACCCTCAAACAAGAGCAATGATAACCTTAATCCAACCATCATGGGCATTTTACCATTGTCTTGGGAGGGACAGAGGTGGGCAGATGCTCTGCCCAGGGATGGAGCTGGCAGAACAGACAGGAAGGCTTCTCTTTCTTTGTCTTGCTTCCTGTTCCCTCCCGAAGCTGATCTCTTCCGTTTCCTGGCAACACCCATTGAGCACCTACTGTATGCACTGTCTGCATACAGTAGGTGCTTAATCGATGTTGCCAGGAAACGAGAGCCCCGTGGCTGGACGGGACCCAGAGCCCCCTCCGGAACCTCACTGAACCACCCACGTCAGCCCGGGAGGGACCTGACCTCCCTCACAGGCCCAAAGTCATGACCTCAGGTGGTGGGGACAGAGGCAGCTGTCCCCTGAGAGGTGACAGGAGGGTGAGGTCACATCGCTGTCCCTGCAACTGTATCTCTCCGTCTGCTTCCTGTCTCTCTGCCTGTCTCCGCCGTGACTGTTTCTGGGTCTCTTTCTCATCCCAGATGTCCCTCTCCTTCTGTCTCTCTGTCCCCACCCTCTGTTCCCAGTCCCGACCCCCCGCACCCCCCAGTCCCCCTCCACCGCCCCAGCCCCCCCACCTCCGCCCCTCCCCGCCCCTCCCCCACCTGGCCCGGTGCAAACAGCCGGCAGGGGGCGCAGCGGGGCGGCCTCGGGGCCCGGGGAGGCGGGGCGGGCGGCGGCCGCGTCGGGACCCGCCGCGATGGGACCGGAGGCGGCGCGGGCGGCGGCGGCGGCGGCGCAGACAAAGACGCGGGCGGCGCGGAGGGCGGCGCGGAGGGCGCGGGCCCGGGAGCCAGGGAGCGAGCGGGGCGCCCGGCTGCGCGGAGTCAGCGCCGCGGGGGCCGCACCCGACTCGCGCCCGGACACTCGCGGGGTGAGCCCGGCCGGCCGAGACTGCGCCGCGAGCGCGGGGGCCTCGAAGTCCCGGGGCCAAGGGAAGGGCGCGGGAGGGGGTCCCCAGAAGTTCCGGACCTGGGGACTGGGAGCGGCGCGAGGGCTCCCCAAGTTCCAGGGCCGGAGGGAGCGCGGGGTCCCGAAGTTCTGGAGTCAGGGTCGGTGAGGGGACCGCGCGGGAGGTTCCCAAAGTTCTGGACCGGGCGTTGGAGGAGGCTGCGGAGGAGTCCCCAAAGTTGCGGACCTGGGGTGGGAGCCTGGCGTGGGAGGGGCCCCGACGTCCCGGACTGGGGACTGGAAGGGTGGCAGGGGGTCTTCGAAGTTTAGGCGTCCGGGACAACGAGGGGGTCCCCAAAGTTCCGGACCGGGTTCGAGGAGGCAGAAGAGGTGTCCCCGAAGTTCTGTGCCCAGAGACGGGGCTGTCGCGGGAATCTCGGAAGTTCCAGGGTCAGGGCGCGCGTCCCGGAGTTGGGTCGCGCACTGGGTGTCCTCCCGCCTCGGGTGGGGACTGGATCCTGAATGAATATTAGCCCCCTCCCCGCCCCCCGGACTGGGGTGCATGGGATGGGGCCTCACCCACCGGCCAGATTGGGGATCCCGGGCACTGGGCGGTGTCGGACCCCCCTCCGGGAGCCCCGTGGCCGGTGGCATCCGAGCGCATGACTAGTTGGTGAGTAACTTTCCCCAAACGCTGCAAGTCGCAGCAGGAGCTGCCGGACCGGAAGGGCCTGGGTTCCCGGGACCCCTGCGTCCCCCAACTCCCACCTGGCGCAGGACCCGCCTCCGGTCCAGGCCAGAGCTCCCGCCCCACCCCCACTCAGGGGCTCCGGTTTCAGACCCTGTGACCGGCACAGCAGCTGCCCAGGACACGATGGGGGGGGCATACCCCCTTTGACCACAGAGGCTGCTGGGCTGGGGCCTCCCCTCCCCCGCCTATCTTCCCCCTCCCCCAAACCCCTCCTTGGTCCCCTGCACATCCGGGGTGACTGGATGGACCAATGGCGAGGTTGGGGAGCCCTGTTCTCCCAGTGTGCATTCTGCTATGCCCGAGGTGGGCACTGGGATTGGCTGTTTGGCTACATCTTGTCTTTTTAACTTGGCTGGGGGCTCCCTGGGGATTTGGACTCTGGTCTGCCAGGTGTGCCTCTAGCTAGGGTGGGAGCTGGGGGGGGTCCCTCTGCAGGGCGTAGTGGGGAACTGGTCTCCCAGTACTACACACCTCTCAATGCCCCAGTTTTTGATGGAGAACCTCTCCCTGGCCAGTCGTGGGTGAATGGAAAGAACTCACAGATATGTGGCCTCCACAACTCAGCCCAGGATGGAGGGGGCTTCATGGGGCAGAGTGGGGGGTGCAGTAACTAGGACGATGAGAGATTTACATCTGGATGTCAGCAGCAGCCACCTGGCTCCTCTCAGAGGGCCATCTCCTGCACAGGTTGTGGAGGGGGCTTCCCCCAGACAAAGAAAGATGGGGTCCACTTGCTCTGAGTGATCTATAATAATAATCTTGCCTTTTTGTTTCTTTCTAACATTTCTTTCTTTTGTGGAGACAGGATCTCCCTCTCTTGCCCAGGCCGGAGTGCAGTGGTGCGATCATAGCTCATTGCACTGCGGCCTTGACCTCCTGGGCTCAAGCAATCCTCCCACCTCAGCCTTCCGAGTAGCTGGGACCACAGGCACATGCCAGGACACCTGGCTAATTGTTTAAATTTTTGGTAGAGGTGGGGGGGGGTCTCACCATGTTGCTCAGGTTGGTCTCGAACTCGTAGGCTCAAATGATCCTCCTGCCTCAGCCTCCCAAAGCACCGGGTGTGCTTTGGGCCTCTCTTGCCTTTTCGATTGAAAGTTCTGTTGATAATGGGTCCTGAGCTGGACCCTGCTTGGCCTCCCTCAACCTGGCCTGAGGGTCACTCATAGTCCCTCCTCTCTCCCTAGGGGCCAAACTAGCAGGTCCTGCCACCTCTCTGGCTGCCCCCTAGAGCCTGCCCAGCCCAGCCTGACCAATGTCCACAGCCAGGTGAGCTCCCACCTCCCCAGCCTGAACCTGAGCTTTCTAAGGGGGGGGGGTGCCCGGCCCCTACTGATCACCCTCTCCCCACACAGGGAGCAGCCAATCTTCAGCACACGGGCGCACGTGTTCCAAATCGACCCGACCACCAAGCGAAACTGGATCCCGGCGGGCAAGCATGCACTCACTGTCTCCTATTTCTACGATGCCACCCGAAATGTCTACCGCATCATCAGCATCGGGGGCGCCAAGGTCCGGGTGGGGTCTGGGTGGGGCAGAGGCACCAGGGGTCCTGGTGACACGCCTGGGTCTGGCGGCTGGCTTGCTGTGTGCCCAAGGGATGGGAAACTCTGAGCCTTCCAGGGCCCTAGTCTGTCTCCTGAAATGGCTCAGAGTAAAGACTTTCCAGACGCTAATACAAGGTGATACCTGGGGGTTTCATGTCTGTTACTATCCGTCCCATCAACCTTGAACTTTGTTCCCCAACCCCAGGCCATCATCAACAGCACTGTCACTCCCAACATGACCTTTACCAAAACCTCCCAGAAGTTCGGGCAGTGGGCGGACAGTCGCGCCAACACCGTTTACGGCCTCGGCTTTGCCTCTGAACAGCATCTGACACAGGTGGGCCGGGTGGGGGGAGGTGGAGGGAAGGGATGAGGCTGAGCCCAGTTCTTCTCCTGGGCGTGCTCTGGGACCTCAAGCAGGGCCTCTATCTTCCCATCTGCAGGATGGGCATGTAGGATGAGATGAGCTGGAAGCCCCTTTAAGGTTCGATGGTTTGAGTCCTAGTTCATTTTTTTTTTTTTTTTTTGAGACGGGCTGGAGTGATCTCAGCTCCCTGCAACCTCCACCTCTCAGGTTCAAGTGATTCTCCTGCCTCAGCCTCCCAAGTAGCTGGTGCCCACCACCACGCCTGTCTAATTTTTTGTATTTTTAGTAGAGATGGGGTTTTGCCATGTTGGCCAGGCTGGTCCCGGACTCCGGACTTCAAATGATCTGCCCACCTCAGCTTCCAAAGTGCTGGGATTACAGATGTGAGCCACGGCCCCCTCCCTTAATTCCTAGTTCTACTGCCTCTAGCTCTAATTTTGGATATACCCTGCTCCTCTGTGGGACATCAAGTGGGTGGCTGGGCTGGGCACTTCCCCACATGCCCCAGCGATACCTTCATTGTCACCTCCCTCTGCCCTGTGCCCTCTCTATACGTCCATTATTATCTTTTTTTTTTTTTTTTTGAG